AATACTGGTTTCTTGAAGGATGAATCCAGTTGTGATAAAAAATCACTGACTGACTGTGTTTGGTTTTACGCCGCTTTTAGCAATATTCCAGCAACATCATGACGGGGAACACCAGAAATGGGCTTCACACATTGTACCCTTGTGGGGATTTGAACCCGGGTCTTCGGCGTGACGAGCCAACGCTTTAACCACTAGGCTACCCCACCACCCCGATAAAAATAGTAAGTTTAAACAAGTATTTATCATTTCCCTTAACACAGACACCAGTTGGTGCCCTTGGATGAAGTAGGTCACAGAGACATGTACATGCTGCACATTGGTATTTATGTCTGCCAGACAGCAGGTTAAAGAAACTAAATGTTACCCTTTCGTCACTCTCACACCTACGTGCTGTAAATATTTGCATGAAATCCTGAGTGAGCAAAGCTCATGAAAATGAAACTTTCTCTAACGTCATGCCAAATGAAAGTACGATCAAAACCATGCCCCCTCTCTTACTGTTTACAGAATAGACTAAAACCATGGGACACTATTATTGGTGATCATCTTACTTGATCATGTGGTCATCATTTTAAAAACCCAACGGTTAACAGTAGTGGTGGTCCGATTAATTGAAATAATCGAAGATTGGTCGCAATGACTAAACAACCAAGCAATCTATCATGTTTTCTCATAATCAAACACAAACAATTCTGGAAGACTTGTTTGCATTAACAATATTTTTCACAAGGTTGGTTTTGTCTGTTACATTTCATAAACATTGCAAGCTCGTTCCAAGTAAGGATTGAATTTATCTTAAAGACTCCAGGAAATTTATGTTCCTAACATACTAGTCATCCTTTAAAGATGTTACATTTGCACATGCATTTTGTGAAATTTGCAAAAAAATGTTTTTTCTTTGTTTTTTGTGCAGTAACAAACATAACCAGAAAAAATTGATAAAGGATGTTGACCAATTATTTTCGATGATTGATCGGTTGTAATGAACCAATCATCAATTATGAGATTTTATCCAATTCCCAACACTAATTAACAGAAAGATGTCTAGTTTTTTAATATACTAAAGAAGATTTTATTTGTATTATAATTCTTATAAAAGCCCTAAAACTGTTCATAATATCAGAGTACCTTTTCTTATCAATATGATAAAACCACTTAATAATATTTGTTATATTTTCTTATTTTTAACATATGTTATATTTACACTTTTTCAGTAATGTAATTCTTATTTTTTAAATTTTGTTTATTTGGCATATAAGTAATAATTTTGATGAATTTGTAAAAATTAAACATCCCAGTCTATTATGATCACATTGTTACACTACTGACATAACAAAACTATCATTAGTCAGCAGTAACCATGACAATCAGTGCTAGACTGAAGCATATTTTTTTCAGAACCACAATACCTCTAAAGCACCTGCTAAAAACTAGGTTAGTAAACTGAGAGGGATAAGCAGATATAATTACACCCATACTGCCAGAGGTGTCACAAAATGCTTATTTCCTAAGCTGCCCAAGACCCTCAATATAAACTACTCCTTTTACAGAGCACTCAATTAACCAACAGTTATAAACAGTTACCAAACACTTTAATAGTGTTCAATTATCCCCTAATTACTGCTAATCACCACCTACACAATACACGTCATGGCTGAATGCCCAGCCCCTGCGGTTGCCAAAGCCGATGGTGTGCGTTAACGCCTATTCTATTTACCCCATCCTGGGTAAGGCAGACAAAGACAATATATGGATAAGATATGCTTGGACAAATCCTGGATCAAGTTTTATCACTCCCCAAGGTGTGTCCACAGGATTTGTGTAAGACAACCATTCTAGTGCCAAGACTCAAGACCAGAATAAGACGAAAAATATGCATGACAGTGATGTGTTTGTTTCTTGAACCTTCTTGATCATGTCAACGTCAAAATATAACTAGAATGACACGATTTTTACTGAATGAACACATCATGTTAAATGACACTTTAAACACTATTCCCGTGGCATGTCAGTTTAATATGACAGGATTAAGCCTGCGGCCATGTTTTTCTTCTGAACCAGTTCTTCTGAATTATGTATTCTAACAGTGATGTTTGTAGGAATGTTAAACTTAATGAGTGTGAGTGAGTTTAGTTTTATGCCGCACTCAGCAATATTCCAGCTATATGGCGGCAGCCTGTAAATAATCGAATCTGGACCAGACAATCCAGTGATCAACAGCATGAGCATCGATCTGCGCAATTGGGAACTGATGACATGTGTCAATCAAGCTAGCGAGCCTGACCACCCAATCCCGTTAGTTGCCTCTTACGCGCAAGCAGTGAAATAGGGTTCGCTCTTACGACAAGCATGGGTTACTGAAGGTACCTTCTAACCCAGACCTTCACGGGTTGTTAAACTTAAAATAATGTAGTAAAGAAACATTTTAATAAAGCGCTTCAGCATTCACTTTCAAAAAAAATAATCCCAAACAATACCTAAGTAATATTTTCTGATCAACGTTAGACATTTCAAACCTTAGTTATTTTCAAAAGTGAATAATTCCATTTTTCTCAGCTTGTGCCAAAGTATTTTGAATCAGACTTGCCCATCCTCATCTTTAGTGACAGAGTTTACTCAACACGTGGACTGTCCTAGACAACTTAGCAGACATGTCTACTATATTGACATGTGTGCAGGGCCACTGGCTGACTGGTAGGTGAACAAGTTAGACACAAGACTGATGTTGCTTCATACATATGTGATATCCACGTGACAAATAGCATTTTCAAACAATTCTAAAAAACAAATAGTACAGGACAAACAGCTGGAATAGTTTTCCCTGATGCTTTTGGACGATGTGTGTCTGACACTTGACTCCACATTTCTTAATAATCAGAAAATACTGACTGACTGAGTTTGGTTTTATGCCGCTTTTAGCAATATTCCAGCAATATCACGGCGGGGGACACCAGAAATGGGCTTCACTCATTGTACCCATGTGGGGATTCGAACCCGGGTCTTCGGCGTGACGAGCCAATGCTTTAACCACTAGACTACCCCACCGCCCCAGTTAGAAAATAAACGAGTGTGGACCAGATAATCTAGTGATTGACATCATGAACACTGATCAACACAATGGAGATGCGATGACAGGCAATCAATGTGGGCACACATGCCGATCACCTGACTGATGGACCTGCCTCATGTGACACTTCTACTTGTAGGATGCTGAGAACCAATGTTCTTACCCAGTTTCCTTGACAACACTGGATTGTTTGAACCTATGTCGGTGCAAGAGTCCTACATGTCCTCAGACCATCTGGAAAACTTAGTCGTGTTGACACAACAACATGTTGATTCAACAAGGAAAGGGTGTCCCTCTTTTAACCACATCAGCAAATATACAGTTGTTGACAAGATGATGTGAACCGTGCCCCACAATCTCGAGTCATTGGTCTCGTGGTGACTCCAAAACTAAAATCAGTCCTTGTTTATTCAGTAAAGAGTGCATGTGTGTGTCACAAGTGTAGTTCTTCTTGACCACTGCTGACTTCAGAGCAATCTTAACAATGCTTAAAGAGTTAAAAATTTGCTTCAAGTTTGAGGAATGTAGTAAAATACTGGTTTCTTGAAGGCTGAATCCAGTTGTGATAAAAAATAGTAAGTTTAAACAAGTATTTTTCATTTCCCTTAACATAGACACCAGGTGGTGCCCTTGGATGAAGTAGGTCACAGAGACATGTACATGCTGCACATTGGTATTTATGTCTACCAGACAGCAGGTTAAAGAAACTAAATGTTACCCTTTCGTCACTCTCACACCTACGTGCTGTAAAAATTTGCATGAAATCTTAAGTGAGCAAAGCTCATGAAAATGAAACTTTCTCTAACGTCATGCCCAATGAAAGTGTAGTATTCTATCAAAGCACACCTTGAAAACTTATACATGTACTGCCTGGACTAAAAACGATTAAGTTAGTTTGGATATGTCACCTGACATAAACTTCAGATGATCTTAAGTGTTAATGCATGGACTTTGATAAGCAAAGATTTTATTGGACAAAGCATTCACATTTGACATTTGTATCTTATTTTGTAACTGAAGACTGACCACTGCGGAGGCCTAATATTGGTAAGCCTGTGGTACCAATTACTCTTTATTCCTAAATAGGTAGAGAGGCTTTACGTTTACAAAAAATATGAAAAGAACTCTATTGGAAAAGTTACTGTAAAGTTAGCAGCATTTGGTATATATTTAAAGTATCCCCTGCTTTCTGGTTCCATTGACCACAGTCGGCTCATCAAACAAAAGAAAGCTGAGTACATTCAGACAGAGCTACCTGATGATTTAATTGCAGAAAGGACTCCCAATGATTTACTAAGACCGTATATCTCAGACGGTGACTATCCATAGAACTTGGTTTTCCTTCAGTATCAATATTGACCTTTTTTGAGTTTATGACTTTTTTTCCTATGACTTATTTCCTGCCCAAATCTTTGACTTTTTTTCCTATGACTTTTTGCCTACATCCCACAGACAGCTGTCTAAGGTTGACTGTTTCCTCATGTTTGAGTTATTCATACAATAATAAGGTGTTGAAGAAACAAAAGAAGCCAAATCTATTTGTACATACATTTACAACCCCACATGCTCTGTGATGTACATTTTAGATTGGGGCATATACATTAGCATTGATTTGGGAGGTTTCTATTGTATCATGGGTGTGGTCACATCATGTCCATAGACAGCATAGTATTTGGAGTGTAGGATTAAAAGGATGATGATAGACATGTTCATTGCTTTTAGATCCTATCCACGGTTTTATTTCAGCTTCTGAAAGTGTTTCCTCAAAAAATGTCACAACATTTCAAACAGATGATTTTGTGTTCATGCAAGTTAACATAATTTTTTCTGAGACAAAAAAGATGTATAATTTGAACAGAAATAAACCAATTCATTTTAAAATTAAGACGGATAAAACAAATTGCCAAGAATTTAAAGAAAACTAGCAACTCACTCAATTTGTCTCTCCAAGAAATCAACTCCAATAGTTTTCTTGTAGTCCTTGGTAAATATCCCCTTGCAATATCGCTGAATCATGCTAGATTTGCCTACAGCACCGTTGCCCACCACTACCACTTTGATGGCAATCTCCACTTCCTCTTCTCTCATGGTCCACTCAGTCACAGACTCAACACTCAGTACAATCAGACTGTGTATCACAAGCTATAATTCTCACCAGGTTGTTATTTCCGTCTTAAGGAAACATAATCACAAACCACAATGATGATGTTAATTAAAGTTGATGTAGATAATCTTGCATGGTGGTTATCCACATATACCTGAAAAAAACACACAGAAATCTATATGGATATATTCATGATGACTTGTACTGACACACAAACACACCTGATACTACTGATACAGGCTTTAGAGAACAAGACAGATTAATAGCATTACAATTATCATAGATACAATTCCATTAAAAAATGAGACTGATTACAATCAAAGAGTTAACTCCAAATAAATATACTGATATGCTGGGTAAGAGTTCCTTACGTACCCCCCACCCCCCCACCTAATTTTTAAGTATAGACTAAACTATAGTGTTTGCTCATCACAAAAATAGGCGGGGTATGTAACGAACTCTTTCCATATGCTGATATTTGTTTTCAGTCCACATCAATGTCCATGCTAATCGGAATTGTCAATAATCAGAAACTAAAAGGAATTCCAGAAGCAAATCAACACAGCTGTCCTTCAAAATAGTTTTCTCACAATAAACAGGTTCAAATGTCACAAAAATGCCTATGTAAGTGCTGCAAGTACACAAACAGGTAATCCAACATCAGCCCAAGACTCACTTCCAATATACACTGGGGTTTATCTACAAATGCTTATGTTAGCATGCTAATATATCCATCCCAATTTAATGACCCTCAATTTAATGGGCTCAAACGACCCATCTTGTCATAATATCAAAGACCGTCTTATGTCACTTGACTTTGTATATAATATTACATCATAAATAAATGGTACATAATTTACCCCTGTAATACCGGTCTCCGATCGTACATGAATATACCAGCCCAGTTGATGTCTTACCTAGCTACACTTTTATAACATTCTGAAAAGTTATCTCAGCGCCGGCTTCACCAAGGAATGTTAACAAACGTCGATCCTTATTTCAACAGAATGGCAAAATGAATCATCTATGAAATCAATTAGATCTAACCTTTCACACGTTCATGATCTGATAAAGTGGTTAAGTGTACTCACACCGTACCTGTTTACAAGAGACACTAGACAGGTGCTCGAAACTGTCACCCTGTACGTAATTAACCCGAATTGAAAAGTAAAGCAGTTAAATCGTACCTGTCGTTTTGTTGAGAACCTCAACCCATTGTTAGGTAAATATCAGATATGTACCATCCATCGTGTGTTGACAAACAAGGACCACAGCAATCACTCAACCTGTGGCCGAAACTTTGTGACAAATCTTCGAAGAGGTGAATGCCAATGCCGCAGCAAATGAAAGGTGAAAACGTCCTGTAATTATGCAAAAAATAGTTGTAATATATGTTATAACTAAAACGACTCTATATATTGAGTACCGGGCCTAAATTGCAAATAATATAACATGTGACAAATGCAATATTCTTAGAAATATTTACTGCGAGATTAAATAGATATTCCACGCATGCGTTGTTGAGATTTCCTGTAAATCTTAACTTCCTGTGACATGCACGATTTGAAAACTGAAGAAAATGCCAACATTTAAAGGTTTTCTGAGCTTGATTGTTGTATTACACGAGTAGCAATTAGATTCATACATGAGTCATTTATTTATGCTATATCTATTATCGTAAGTTTGAAACAAGCGATAGTCAGACTCGAGAACAATGAAGTGTTCTGATTAAATCAAACATTACCCCGGATTTCGCTCAATCATCACTAGCTCTTGATCAATGGTTCAATATGTCTTGTTATGTATAGACTGAAAATTTGAGGAAATTAATAGAAAAGAATCAATTTGTTCAAAATCTTGAAATTGGTTCATCGGAGGAATATCACTGGTCTTGATGGTTTCTTATGTATCCCCACTAATTGAAGTTAATAGTAATCAATTTGTTCCTTTCAATGGTTCATGAGGAATATATGGTCATTTTCATACTCAAGATTATGGCTTTGTAGGCTCCATGCCAGTGTTAGTGTGTTTCACTGAAGTGGTCAATGTCTGACACCTGCATCACATCAGCGGGCCTACCAAAGATCTACCTGGAACATTTTCTCACCATGTTCAAAATTCAAATTAATTTTGTCTCTGTAACTTGGGTGGCCAATTCTATGTAAGTTGTGTACATTAAGTTTAGGAAGCTCTCTGTAAGTGAAATCAGATTTAATATGGGATATTGATGAAAGAAAAAAAAGCATTCATTCAGGGTTCCTTGACATGAACCTATTTGTTTATAAAACATTTTCTGCAGTCACTAAATTTAAATACTTAAGCAGAAGACGTCAAGGAACCCTAAACCGATAATAAAAATCGAACACTGAAATGGTTAGATCAATTTAGTCCTTGAGGTCTTTGGAAACACTACATTTTTTTCTGTGTATTTTCTTAATGCTGATTTATCATATTTATAGCTGGCTAGGCTTGCCTTTATATAATTTTAAATGTTTTTGTTTTCATAAAATACATAGTTTATTTCAGTGTCATGGTGCAGGAATATTGAATAGTCTTTCCTCTGTCATCACCTTCTCCATACTGTTCCCTCATTGTAAGTTTTTTCATTATCATTAATATGTTATTTTTCAGTCAATGTGAAGTGGGGACGGGAGAAGTTTGCAGATGTGGAGTGTAACACTGATGAGCCGCCGGTGGTCTTCAAGGCTCAGCTGTTTGCCCTGTCCGGCGTCCAGCCAGACCGCCAGAAGGTCATGATGAAGGGAGCTGTTCTCAAGGTCAGGCAGAGTTTTCACTGTTTTGCTCTACTGTTTTTTGACCAGTAGAAACATCAGACACTATGAATTCCCGACTGTCAACAAATCTTGAGTTGTATGTTTCTCCGAAAGATAAATGATGGTTGAAATAGTAACCAAACATGCCATGTAATCATTATCACAAACTTATTTAAATGAATATAGTTTGTAATCCCCATTACTTGCAAGCAAGACTTGACCTGAAACAAAATTGTGTAGCTTTTTACTTTGTATTTTGCACATGGTATTTGTTCCCAAAATCTTGTACCCAGGAATGGAGTATGTTGTATGCTATTTATACACTAGAGGTGTAATATCCCTGCAGAGCACCCTCATTTCATTGGTTCATTTTCTCTGCCTTTTTACGACCGCCTCCGTGGTGTAGTGGTTAGAGCGTCCGCCCGGAGAGCGGAAGGTCGCGAGGTCGCGGGTTCAATCCCCGACCGCGTCATACCAAAAGATGTTAAAATATGGTATTTGTTGGTCCCTGCCTGGCCCTCAGCATTAATGGGTACAACAAGGACTGGTCGGCTCGGAGTCAGTATAATGTGTCTGAGTGGTGTATTCATGCTTCACTGCGGCATGGTATCTCAGTGGGCTAGCACTGTAAAATCAGCTTCAGTCTGGGCTAGTACAAGCACTCGCACATACCCATACACACGCATGCACGTCGTCATACTATGAGCAAAATAATCTCAAGCACAATGTTAAATCCAATTTCACCTTACCTCACCTCTGCCTTTTTGCTGTTGAATCAATTGTTTTTTAATCTCAGACAGAGAAGATGGGATGCTCTCAGGGAGAAAAATATAAGCTTGAGGTGCTGTGAAGAATCTGCTCTTTATAGCCAACTAGGAAATACTGGAGAATCTGTTCTTTATAGCTAATTAGGAAATACTGTAGAATATCCATTAACTGGTTTATGAACAGCTTCTTGTATTATCCACATGTTCCTTCATCAATCTATCTTGTATGTATTGTATTGTATTGTATGTATTGCTATACAGCAGTTGTATGTCAATATAGTGAATCATGAACCTCATATAACAATGCAGTACTGTATTGCTGTATCATTACCCCACTATTTCACACAGGCAAATACAGTATTCTAAATAAAAACGGATGCTTTTGTGTGAAAGCTTCACTGTTCTTCACCAAAAAGAGTCATTGTATGTGCCGTGAACTCACCATGATCATTCATGGCTTTGAGGGTTTACACCTGAATGTAAGCCCCTTGTGAATCATGTTTATCACTGACACTTGTTATACTATAGCTGACATTATAACAGTTATCGTATTGTGAGTCGGCTCTGTGCAGTATATTTAGTCAGGATGGCCGACTGTTGTCACCACCAAACAGTGAATGCCATTCTGATACCTGGCTACTGACAGTTTCAAGAAGAAACAAATATAATCACCATGAATACATGTAACTCTTAATGTCTTTCTTAAAGGGAGTTTACACCTTTTGGGCATTAATGTTCAGAAGCAGATCTGAAATGCTCAAATTTTGTTCCAACACAGAAGTATGGAAACTGTAACAATGAAAAAACACCAAACAAGGGGTTAACATGATTAATTATAGCCCAATCATATTGGTGATAGGAAGGGGATGTTGTAATACTTTTCAGCTAACATGAATATGTTTGGAGAGTGAATGTTTAAATGTATAAGTCAGGGGTGGAAATAACCCATTGCCCGACGTCCGAGTCCAGTGTTTTTTTCTGTCGGGCAAGCAAATTTGTATATCACACTGTACCGGTGTCCAGTTGACTTTCCAATGTTAATTATGCTGTTTATTTTAAAAATCAGCAAGAAAACGGTTGGTATAGTTGAAAACTTATCAGGGCAAGTGACTTTACATGTGCCACTGTACCGGAGTACACTATCAATTTTAAAGTTATTTCCACCCCTGACTTTAAGTGTATTTATTGGTCATGCAACTCAATCTGATTTTAAGTTAAATTTGTTTGAGTATGCTTTCTAATACTGTTCTCATGGTCACTGTTGCAGGATGATGAATGGGGAAACATGAAGCTGAAAGATGTAAGTTCTTTAATATATTCTTAAGCCTTCATCAGATAAGAAAATACTCCAAAACGCTTGACCTGAAGGGATGATGTTGAGAATCAATCCTCAAAGATAAAAGAGGTGTTGGGCACAATGTGTGAAGCCCATTTCTGGTGTCCCCCGCCGTGATATTGCTGGAACATTGCTAAAAGCGGCGTAAAACCGAACTCACTCACTAACTCACTAATGGGAAGCTGTGAGCAATTTCCTCATATTCCTATGTAAGAAAGTGAGAAACAGACAGGGTAGTTAACAAGTGTGGCTGGCATAATTAAATTCATATTTACCCTCGTCTTTTTATGAAAACACTTTCGATACAGATCAGCCTGATCTTAAATATTAGTCTTAAATAGAAGGCACTATTCGGTTTGATTCGGCTTGACAGCCTTTTAATTACAACACTTTTTCACACACATTACATTGAAAAGGTTCACATTTGGAATTGCGGATCAGAGCACATTGTTCAGTGGAATGGCATGGAATCGAAACACAATAAAAGTAGGACTAGGAATGGACATAAAACAGAAAAGGAACTTTAAAACGAAATAGGATTTAAAATTATCCCTGAATCTCTAGGAGTATCCCTGACACTTTAGGACAGTATTGTTAATCTCAAACTGTGATAACAACTGCGATAGTCCTGACTGGAATGTTGTGACATGATTGCTGATTGTGCTGCAGGGCGCCATGTTGCTCATGATGGGTACAGCAGAGGAGCTGCCTCAGGAGCCCACCGAGAGACCCATGTTTGTGGAGGACATGAGTGAACAGGAACTAGCGTCAGCGGTATGTGCCACCTCTTGACCTCTTCTTGGGGTGAGGGATGGGGGTGGTGTGTGTGTTTGGGGGAGTAGCCTCAGTCAGTCTTTTGGGGAGGGGGGATTCATGGTTGTAATAGGTTATAAAAAGGATCAGATGGACCTTGCTCATGGTTGATGGTCTGTGTTCATACTTCTGACAGTGTTGATTGTTACAGGGCATAAGTTTCGATCACTGGATTATCTGGTCCAGATTTGATTATTTACGGGCAGACATCCTATTGCTGGAATATTGCTGAGTGTCATCCATTATGGTACATGAAAACCTGACAGCTTCTTCAAATCATGTATCATTGTTTAATAAAAAGTACTTAAATTTGCATTTTTCAAAACGAGTGTACTGACAGACCCTGATAAGAGTGTGAATTTTAATAGGAACACATCAGCCTTTAACAACAATTACATACTGGTTAAAGCATTCCCTCGTCACGCCAAAGATCCAGCTTCTATTCCCCACATAGTTTGTGAAGTCTGATGCTGGTTTCCTCTCCATATTGCTGGAAAATTGCTAAATGTAACATAAACTATGATAACAGGTGAACCAAAATAATTATGTGTATTATCTGATTGTCCTTCAGCTGGCCTTACCGGCTGGGTTGACCAACCTGGGTAACACCTGCTACATGAATAGTGTAGTGCAGTGTCTCCGAGCCGTACCTGAACTCACAGATTCTCTCAAAAGGTAAACACCTTCATCAAGCAGTGTCTCTGATAAAACTTGATGTTATTTACTCCATTGCAAACATGACAATTTAATTCTTGTATATGTTTTGTTATATATTTACCATGTCAGAGTGAGACCCGTGAAGACCTGGGTTAAAATTGGTCTTCAGCAACCCAGTGACTAACAGAAACGGGGCTCCGCTGACTGGGTTGACACTTGTCATCATATCCCAATTATGTAGATTGATGCTCATGCTGTTGATCACTGGATTGTCTTGTCCAGACTCGATTATTTACAGACCGTCGCCACATAGCTGGAATATTGCTGAGTGTGGTGTAAAACTAAACTCACTCACTCACTCCATGCCCTAGTGCTCATTATATCAATCGACCGCCTCCATGGTGTAGTGGTTAGAGCGTCCTCCCGGAGAGCGGAAGGTCGCGGGTTCGATCCCCGACCGCGTCATACCAAAAGACGTTAAAATATGGTACTTGTTGGTCCCTGCCTGGCACTCGGCATTAATGGGTACAACAAGGACTGGTCGGCTCGAAGTCAGTATAATGTGTCTGAGTGGGGTATTCATGCTTCACTGCGGCATGGTATCTCAGTGGGCTAGCACTATAAAAGCAGCTTCAGTCTGGGCTAGTACAAGCAGCCGTCTTTATACATACACCGCGATGCATAAATATATAAAATCATTTCACCTCACCTCACTCACTCCATGCCCTAGTGCTCATTATATCAATCATTTGATTGTCTGGTCCAGACTGGGTTATTTACAGGTTGCCGTCTTACAAGTGGAGTGTTTCAGAATGTGATGTTAAATAACTAATAAGATTTATCTTGAGATTCTATTCTGTATTATAGATGTTTCACTTCCCTGCAGGTACACTGGCAGTCTAACTGTGGCCGGAGCCATCGCTCCCGCGGATTCCATCACAGCAGGTATAGCACCCAGTGACAAGTCACTGTAGATATATGTATGTACTGTTGTTTGGATATGTAGGTACTATAATAATGTGAGTATTGGGCCTTCTTTGAGCATCTTTCCTTGAACCTATTTCTGTTGATTGAACTGGTCATCTTCCATTTATTCAAATTTGTAAAAACAGCTTTCGATTGTGATGAGAAGTATATGTTTGTGTAATTGATTTTGTTGTTTACCAGATGACCTTGTGAATGTATTTGAACAGGAATGTATTGGCTTACAAAGATAGGGTCACTCACTGACAATTACCACACTTCAAAGATTTTCACAACTTCCAAGAAAGGTCCATTTGATCAAACAACATTATGATAATGGCAGCTGAGGTTTTTAACAGACTTGGGACATTCAATGCTCATGCTGTCATTCACTGTTTGCCGGACTAATGCTGGTTTCATACAGGTGTTTTATGGTATTGTCATATGCAAACAGCTACCGGACTAATGCTGGTTTCATGCAAGTGTTACATGGTATTGTCATATGCAAATAGCTACCGGACTAATGCTGGTTTCTTACTGGTGTTACATGGTATTGTCATATGCAAATAGCTACTGGACTAATGCTGGTTTCATGCAAGTGTTACATGGTATTGTCATATGCAAACAGCTACTGGACTAATGCTGGTTTCATACAGGTGTTACATGGTATTGTCATATGCAAACAGCTACTGGACTAATGCTGGTTTCATACAGGTGTTACATGGTATTGTCATATGCAAACAGCTACCGGACTAATGCTGGTTTCATACAAGTGTTACATGGTATTGTCATATGCAAACAGCTACTGGACTAATGCTGGTTTCATGCAAGTGTTACATGGTATTGTCATATGCAAACAGCTGCCGGACTAATGCTGGTTTCATACAGGTGTTACATGGTATTGTCATATGCAAATAGCTGCGGACTAATGCTGGTTTCATACAGGTGTTACATGGTATTGTCATGTGCAAATAGCTGCCCGGACTAATGCTGGTTTCATACAGGTGTTACATGGTATTGTCATATGCATTGTCGATATGCAAATAGCTGCCGGACTAATGCTGGTTTCATACAGGTGTTACATGGTATTGTCATATGCAAATAGCTACCGGACTAATGCTGGTTTCATACAGGTGTTACATGGTATTGTCATATGCAAATAGCTGCCGGACTAATGCTGGTTTCATACAGGTGTTACATGGTATTGTCATATGCAAACAGCTACTGGACTAATGCTGGTTTCATACAGGTGTTACATGGTATTGTCATATGCAAATAGCTGCCGGACTAATGCTGGTTTCATACAGGTGTTACATGGTATTGTCATATGCAAACAGCTGCGGACTAATGCTGGTTTCATACAGGTGTTACATGGTATTGTCATATGCAAATAGCTACCGGACTAATGCTGGTTTCATACAGGTGTTACATGGTATTGTCATATGCAAATAGCTGCCGGACTAATGCTGGTTTCATACAGGTGTTACATGGTATTGTCATATGCAAATAGCTACCAACTCTTTTTCTGGCACTGGCATGAGGAGTACCAAGCCAGAGTGAAAGTGAAACAGCTGGAATTAATACATCCTCATCGACCATGTCTGTATGACTCCTGGTATCTATGTACAGTTTGTGTGATGATGATGATGATGATGATGATAATGATGATGATGATGGTATATTATGTATGCTGCTGCTACTGCTGCTGATGACAATAAAGATGATGTTTGTATTGTGTGTTCATGATGATGTTGATGATGTATGTTGTGCCTGCCAGCTCTGCGAGACCTGTACAAGACTATGGAGATGTCCTCGTCCGCCATCCCACCCATCATCTTCCTCCAGGTGCTGCACATGGTGTTTCCCCGATTTGCTGAGAAGAGCGAGCATGGTGGCTACCAGCAGCAGGTAACCATGGTTACACAAGTAGATCTCAGGGAAACTATATTTCCCTAATGAAAACACCTTTACCATTTTCTCTACATGCTCTTTGACACTCAAGTAGCCAGAAATTCCTTACAAATAATTAGTGCTGGAGCAATTGATTGAATAATAAGTCAATCGATGGATCTCACTTGTGTCTGTGATTATCGATGGACTCTGGAGACTATTCAATATTCATAAAAAAATGAAACGTTAAATTAAACATTAGAAAGTATGTTCCTTGTTAATAATGTTATGGTCGTTAAATCAGGATATAAACTACTGCTGCTGTTTCCTGATTCATACAACTGCAATGTAAACAACAGGAAGTCTCCTTGATCGGCTTGATCATAGGATTAATAGGGCGGTTGGGTAGCCTAGTGGTTAAACTTAACTCGTCATGCTGAAGATCAGGGTTAGCTTTCCCACATTGGTACAATGTGTGAAGCCCATTTCTGGTGTCCCCTGCCATGATATTGCTGGAATATTGCTAAAACGGCGTAAAACCAAACTCACTCACTCACTAATAGTATTAATCGGTGCCCCTTTTGTTTGTACAATGTAATGATTGTGTCCCGTATTTGTGGTTTGTTTATTGATCTGTTTATTAATTGCTGTGCACTGATTATGAATCTGCATATTGTGAGCAATAACCAGCTCTACAAATAATGTATAGGTGAGCTGAGGTTATGCGTGATAGGTTTAAAAAAATATACTAAAGATCAAAGGACATAAATACAACACAAATTTCATGCAATGCTTGTGTACTACATGAGAATGCTTTCCTAACTGTGCTTCACTTGAACCAGACAGTTTATTCGCACTGCACAATCATTTTGTGAGATCAGCTCCAGTAGCCCTAACAGTTGTAATGTCCATCTCTAAAATCAGGACCCGTGAAAATCCGGGGTAGAATAGGTCTTCAGCAACCCATGCTTGTCACAAAAGGCGATTTGCTTGTCATAAGAGGCGACTAACGGGATCGGGTAGTCAGGCTCGCTGACTTGGTTGACACATGTCATCAGTTGCCAATTGCGTAGATCGATGCTCATGCTGTTGATCACTGGATTGTTTAGTCCAGACTCGATTATTTACAGCCACAGCCATATAGCTGGAATATTGCTGAGTTCGGCGTAAAACTAAACTCACTCACTCACTCACTCACTCACTTAAAAATCAGAGCATTAGCTTCATATTACATTGAAGAAATGAACTGTTAGTTCTTTATTGATAATCTACAGTTGAACAATGGAGTGATGTCAAGGTGACATATATTTTAATATGTATGTTGATTATCTTTACTTTAGCGTAGCAGGGATTGACTTCATCTTAATTGTTTGACATTTTTGATAATCTTGTTTAATTCCAGGATGCCAATGAATGTTGGACGGAGATTGTCCGAAGTTTGCAACAGAAACTGCCAAGTATCCAGTCAGGTGGAGAGGTAAGAACCATGGATGATATGTACCATGGTCAGACAGACAAGACAGACAGACAGACAGACAGGTTTATTGTTCCCCACCGCAACGCGGAATGGGGACTATGTATTCAGTCGTCTGTCTGTACGTACGTCCTGATTCTTTTTAACACGATATCTCATGAACTGTTGTACCCAATGTCTTCAAATTTGGTGACAGCCTAAATTTGGGGATTACCCAGACACCAGTCGATTTGGGAGACCTTGACCTTATCATCAAGGTCACCACGACACTTTGAACACTTTTCAAACTGTTGTTTACGTGATATCTCATGCACTGTTGTATCCAATATCTTGAAATTTTGTGACAGCCTACATTAGGGGATTACGCAGACACCAGTTAATTTGGGTGACCTTGACCTTATCTTCAAGGTCACCATGACACTTTGACCACTTTTCAAACTTATTTAAACTCGATATCTCATAAAACATTGCACCCAATGTTTTCAATTATGTTGACAGCCTACATTGGGTGATTATGCAGACACCAGTCATTTCAGGCATCTTGTATGTGACCCAAAAATAAAAAAGTAGTAAATATGTTATAGATATTCCATTCTTTAGCAGCGGGGGACATTGCCATATCAGTGGCAAACACTTGTTTGATAAATGTGGCCATGAGGCCAATAGTACAAAATGACAACTTGGATTAAATTTTTTACAGAGCGCATGGACATGATGTTGTTTACAAAAATTGCTAGACAGAGTATGACATTATGGTTCTTAGTACAGTCGAGCACCGTTGTGTCGAACTCTGATAACTCGATATCTCGGTTGTCTCGATATAACATCTCGGTCCCGGCAAAATCCTTCATAATTTATCATTATTCAAGCTCTTTTAACTCGATACGGATGTCTCGATATTTCGGATATCTCGATATAATTTCATGGTCCCAACAAGCAAAATTACCCTTTTAACTCGATATTTGCAAAGAAACTCGATATTCACCTACCTTTCATGGGCAAGTATCCCTCTGAACTGAGGTTGTTTCCACACGTTTACACGGTGCGGCATGAATCAAAGGGATGCAGTAGTGTAAACTAATTAGGGCTAATTGAGTTGAAGGTGTCACTTGTTTGTTAATTTAATTAGGATTAATTAAGAAGGATTTAATTAGGAAGTACTCACTGTTACGACTAAACACTACTGATAACGGATTATAGTTTCGAATCAAAACATACTGAGAAGCGTTTTGTTTTCTTTCATAGTGATATGTGATGATATGCCCTGGTCGGATGTCTCGAAGTTCGGATAGCTCGATATTTTTTCTTGGGCCCATGAATATCGAGACAACGGTGCTTGACTGTATTTAGAAGATGTACAATTTTTTGTTTATTTGGGTTCATAATGTAGATACTGGTATGTAGTGGGTTCTTACCGCTGCATAAAAAGGACATTTCATTAACACATCGTACTCATCTTCTGGTACGCATAGCTACACTAATGTCATTGTCTTTAGATCTTCTATACAAAATTATTTTCAGATCGGTGGAGCTGCATCTGAATTTTGTTAAAACTCTGCGCAGATGTAAGGAAGAAAGTGCAATCAAATACAATGGTCAAACATCCGTCTGTAGTAGTCAAACATCTGGATATGAGATATACCATGGCCAAACATCTGTATACCACAGTCAAACATCTGTGTGTAATTGTCGAACATCCATTCATAGCAGTCAAACATAGGACATCAGACAAAGATGGAGACATTTATCAGGAGTTACTCAATCAAGCTTGACTGAGACTTCAGCGACCTTCTCAAAACAGCCACAAGTTTTGGAGCCAAGTTTTGTGAACCTTTAGTTATTCTTCAAGGAAGGAAAAATTGGTTGGTTATTATGTGAATAGGAGTCATTAAGACATCTTCAAAGACCGAAAGTTGCGTTTGACATGACATGGTTAAAAATATTGGAGGTCAGACAATATTGATATATCCCCATGTCAGGGGTTTTCGACGATGTAAGACAAAAACATATTTTTTATCTGTAATATCATTTAAAGTTTGTATTTTACTAACCTTGAGTGATAAAGGATATATTCATCTATTTCACACAAAAATATCAACTGTTCCCTACAAAAATAGTGTTGATGGCATCATATCGGCAAACTGTTGCCGCTCGTAACATCCAGGTATTTTGTATGGGTTTTCGACGATGAGCAAGTGGTATTAACGATCTCGGGTAAATAATGTTGATGTTTGTTTGCTTTTTATATAACTTTACTTCCCGATTTCCATTGTCAGTAAAACTTCTCACGACAGCGACTTGGCACCCGCCCTACCAGTGAAACTGTTTGTGCACTCCGATCGCACACGTACTCCCCCGATATAGCGCGTGCAATGCAATCGTCGAAATCACCAGAACGTCGAATTCAGCTCGTGTTGGGATACTTTGTAGTGTGTTTCTTTTGAAGTACTATTCAAAATGGCATCAACCACTCATTCACTAACTCTCTCTGTCTGTCACCCTATTAGCCTGTTTTTAATGTAGGTGTTGGTTTGTTTCAGAGTTCTGCGGCAGCAAGTGGTGGCAAAGGTTTTATTGACCAGTATTTGGGTGGAGAGTTTGAAGTTGTGTATCCTTTCTGACTTTAAGTTGTGAATATGTGGAGAGCACTTTCTTTATGTAGAGAGTAAAGGTCTGTTGGGCCAGCTGGAAATGTGAAAAACTTTGTACTGAATAGTTTGAAATAGACATCTAAGGTCTATTCCTGAAACTGAATCTGTCGATATGATAATAGGAATCTGTCTCAGTAGCAGAATAACAGTGTTTTCACTGTGACCAATGAAGTCCTGTACATTTGGAAAACACTTGTCTCAGAACCAGACCTGTGAGTAGACAAGTCGACCGCCTTAACTCTGTCCTCAGTATGAAGTGTACAGAAGCCCCTGAAGAGGAAGAGAAAAAGTCCTCAGAGTCCTTCCTGCAGCTCAGCTGTTTTATAGAAAAAGGTACCGATTGTTAAGATACATTTCCTGTTTTTTTTCTGCATCTCTCTGCACCAACTCAACCGACATATCAAGGACATGAATTTTCTGTTTAGGGTTGTCTCCCTTACATGTGCCAGGATCTGGTAGTTTCCGATCCATGGTTGGCCAGGAAGATTCATATGCTTTTCTATCTCATCAGAGTGATGAATGTCCATGGCCTTTGTGGATTCGGTTACAGTAAACAGTAAACTACTGTTTAATATGACAAACTCAAAAGGGTCCACTAATTTTAGTTCATAATAACAGTAGGTTGTTGTATACATTTCTACTGAAACATGCAACAATTTAGGGACCAAAAAAGCAGTTAATTAGTCCTTCAGTTTGTTGTAAGCATGTTCATTTTTAACGTAGTTGACTGTATTGCATTGATAAGAATGTTATTGAGGTTATATTTTTTTCTGTTGCAGAGGTTAAATACATGGCCACTGGTTTACGGGGTGTAAGTATGACTGCCTGGGCAGATCTATTTCAATTTCCACTCGTGTAGTTCTACTGTCAACACGTCTATGTCACTTTCATTCTGGATAATTTGGTGAGAAGTTATCAGGGAGTTTTGATTGACCCACCTGAGGATACCATTCAACATGTTAAACCAATGTCAGTTGATGTTCCCAAATTTGATAGCGTGATGCATTAAAGGGTACAACAAGGACTCTCGACCCTTCGAGTCAGTCCAGGAAGATTAAGTGTCTGAGTGGGGTATTCACCAGCTTGTCCGACCGCATGGTATCACAGACTTTGGAAGTTGTTACTATGACATGTGACACTTGTTTGCTGTTAATTTTATCTTAATTTTTCTTATGTTTGTAAATAATTTCAATGCCAATTATAAGAAATGTTAAATTTCACCTCAATGTGTGTGTTAATTTTATTCCATGGGTAATTTGTGTGAAGTTTTCAATGGGTCAGACAGACATCTTAAACTTACAGGACCCAATGTCCTGTTACTTTGAAACACCATTTGATAACACTGCATAATGAGGACAAGACCCCAATATTTCATGTCACAGTTTTGCATTGGATACAATCTGAAAACACAGTAATGCAACATCTTTAATATAAGAATATGAGTTCTGAATGAATATTTTCAAAAGTGCATGCCAATTGCTCTTATCTTGTAATTGTGTATACATCCCTGGTGATTATGGATGGGTCTGTATATTTGAACATGCTACACAAGTCTTGTCAGGGTTGATATACAAGTCAAAATTGTCAGTGTGGTGGAGAGCATCAAATCAAGGTATTTTCTTTTCCAAATCTGCACATCCGAAGATGATTTTTTTTTTCTGAACTGTATATAATTTCTTTATTTTCTTTTGCAGAGATTAGAAGAAACAATTACAAAGAATTCACCTACATTAGGAAGAGATGCATTGTATACAAAANAAAATTCTGTAAGTATTAATTATTTTCAGGTAAAATATTTTTATCCATGCATCTGTCACACTTTTTCCGAAGCATATCTCCTAAACTATTCGGGGATAAAAACTTGGTACATATTCCATCTGTCAAGCATGATCCTAGATCACTTTTTTTAGACCCAGGTATGAATGTTAAATTTCCTGGAAACTATTAGCCTGTGGTAGAGACAGATCTCCCAAACTTACATGCTAGCTTCATCTACATATGTCAAGCATGATCCATAGATGTGCCTTTTGGGGTTTAGACCCAGATATTAATTTTACTTGTTTTTGCGGTTTCCATGGAAACGTGACTTAGGCAGTGACTATGAGGATGTCATCTTGTTGCATTTCCATGGCAACAAGTTAGGCTTCAACTGAATTTGGTGGTAGTGCTCCTTTCTGGAGCAGATCTTAAAAACCTTTCAATACTCTCCTTCCACTTTACTATATACACTCCAAAACATTTGACATAGTCATGACTAGTAGATATATTCATAAAGAGTATTTTTCCGTTGCGGGGATATTGATGACTTTGTCTTCTTGTTGTCTTTGGTTGCGAGTCTGTCATGTAAAATTCTATACCTCTACCCTCAATGTAAGATCTTCACTGAGGAGAGCCCTTGCTGTAATTAATCAAATTGGAAGACTGTGTAATATGAACACTAAGCTGTGAACAGATGTTGTGATCTGGAGTCAGGAAAGTCCTTATGCTGCAATGGGCTGTGGTTGTGTTTGAAAAGCCATGCAAAGATTCCTTTGTGTACTGTTGATAATACCAGGACGGCAGAAGTGTCAGTCATGAAAAACAGTTCAACTTGATGGGTGTTGTACTGTTGATATTACCACAAGTGTCAGTCATGAAAGAACAATGTAACTTGATTGGATGTTGTACTGGTAATATAACCACAAGTGTCAGTCATGAAAGAACAGTGTAACTTGATTGGATGTTGTACTGTTGATATTACCACAAGTGTCAGTCATGAAAGAACAATGTAACTTGATTGGATGGTGTACTGGTGATATTACCACAGTGTCAGTCATGAAAGAACAGTGTAACTTGATTGGATGTTGTACTGGTGATATTACCACAGTGTCAGTCATGAAAGAACAATGTAACTTGATTGGATGTTGTACTGTTGATATTACCACAAGTGTCAGTCATGAAAGAACAGTGTAACTTGATTGGATGTTGTACTGTTGATATTACCACAAGTGTCAGTCATGAAAGAACAGTGTAACTTGATTGGATGTTGTACTGGTGATATTACCACAGTGTCAGTCATGAAAGAACAATGTAACTTGATTGGATGTTGTACTGTTGATATAACCACAAGTGTCAGTCATGAAAGAACAATGTAACTTGATTGGATGTTGTACTGTTGATATTACCACAGTGTCAGTCATGAAAGAACAGTGTAACTTGATTGGATGTTGTACTGTTGATATTACCACAAGTGTCAGTCATGAAAGAACAGTGTAACTTGATTGGATGTTGTACTGTTGATAATACCACAAGTGTCAGTCATGAAAGAACAATGTAACTTGATTGGATGTTGTACTGTTGATATTACCACAAGTGTCAGTCATGAAAGAACAGTGTAACTTGATTGGATGTTGTACTGTTGATATTACCACAAGTGTCAGTCATGAAAGAACAGTGTAACTTGATTGGATGTTGTACTGTTGATATTACCACAGTGTCAGTCATGAAAGAACAGTGTAACTTGATTGGATGTTGTACTGGTGATATTACCACAGTGTCAGTCATGAAAGAACAGTGTAACTTGATTGGATGTTGTACTGGTGATATTACCACAAGTGTCAGTCATGAAAGAACAATGTAACTTGATTGGATGTTGTACTGTTGATATTACTTGATTGGATGTGTCAGTCATACCACAAGTGATGAAGAACAGTGTAACTTGATTGGATGTTGTACTGTTGATATTACCACAAGTGTCAGTCATGAAAGAACAGTGTAACTTGATTGGATGTTGTACTGGTGATATTACCACAGTGTCAGTCATGAAAGAACAATGTAACTTGATTGGATGTTGTACTGTTGATATTACCACAAGTGTCAGTCATGAAAGAACAATGTATCTTGATTGGATGTTGTACTGTTGATATTACCACAAGTGTCAGTCATGAAAGAACAATGTAACTTGATTGGATGTTGTACTGTTGATAATACCACAAGTGTCAGTCATGAAAGAACAGTGTAACTTGATTGGATGTTGTACTGTTGATATTACCACAAGTGTCAGTCATGAAAGAACAGTGTAACTTGATTGGATGTTGTACTGTTGATATTACCACAAGTGTCAGTCATGAAAGAACAGTGTAACTTGATTGGATGTTGTACTGTTGATATTACCACAGTGTCAGTCATGAAAGAACAGTGTAACTTGATTGGATGTTGTACTGTTGATATAACCACAAGTGTCAGTCATGAAAGAACAATGTAACTTGATTGGATGTTGTACTGTTGATATTACCACAGTGTCAGTCATGAAAGAACAGTGTAACTTGATTGGATGTTGTACTGTTGATATTACCACAAGTGTCAGTCATGAAAGAACAGTGTAACTTGATTGGATGTTGTACTGGTGATAATACCACAAGTGTCAGTCATGAAAGAACAGTGTAACTTGATTGGATGTTGTACTGTTGATATTACCACAGTGTCAGTCATGAAAGAACAGTGTAACTTGATTGGATGTCTATATTTTAAGTCATGCCATTCAGGCAGGATTCAAAACAAAATTATTGGTGGTGAATGTGTCCAGAGTCTATATAATGTTAGAATAGATGATGATGTGTACAACATGGACTCATTAAACATGGCTACATGTGGAAAGTAAGCTGGATTCGTATTCATTGAAAACATGCTTCCTTGTGTCCATCGATACCTTAATACTTCTCAGTAGCTCCTTGATGTTTGTTTTCAGAGTAAGATAAAACGTCTACCAGCGTACTTAGCAGTTCAGTTTGTCCGGTTTTACTTTAAAGAAAAGGAAGCGATTAATGCCAAAATTCTGAAGGTAAGTCACTTATAACAGATGTTAAATTTGTAATTACAGATTCTAGTAAATACAAAAATTCTGCTGCCTTTCTGAAAGGTGACCCATTCTGAGATTTGAACCCACACCTAATGAACACACCACATCAGCATGCCAACCTACTGAGCCACAGACTTCCTCAAAACCAAAGTGGATCGGAAGGTTGTCTAGCTCATGTACATTGTGCACACTTAAGTGTAAATTGGATTGACTCCCACAGCTGAAACAAGGTCTGTTGGTGTGGGCTGACTGAGTTTAGTTTTATGCCGCTTTTAGCAATATTCCAGCAATATCACGGCGGGGGACACCAGAAATGGGCTTAACACATTGTGCCCATGTGGGGAATCGATCCCGGGTCTTCGGCGTGACGAGCCAACGCTTTAACCACTAAGCTACCCCACCGCCCCTGTTGGTTTGGGACTAAGTTCAGTAACTGTACACAGGGCTACTCATTGATTTATTAAATCAAACACAAAGGTTGACAAAAGTTGGTCCAAACTGAATTGTGCAGTCTGTATAAGATCAATGACTAATTAACGAATTGTATTAAAAGACACAGGATTAGTTCACAATCACAAAACATGGCAGGTAAATTACATGAAAGCAAAAATATATTACAAGCCCAACATTAAATAGCAGTACACTCATAACTGCCCAACATAACTTGTGATTATGTATATGCACTATTACTGACTACTCAAAACACTGAACTTGTTGGGGTTTTTTCAGGATGTGAAGTTTTCAATGAAGCTGGATGTTTTTGATCTATGTACTGAAGAATTACAGAAGAAACTGACGCCAGCTAGAGACAAGTTCAAAGAAGAGGAGGACAGGCAAACTGAAGCCCTCACCAAGGTGAGATAGGTTTAAGGACTCGCCAAGTGGGAGATAAGATCTAAGAGTTCACCAAAGTAAGAATGAACTGAAGACTGACCAAGATGAGAATATACTGAAGCCCTGAAGGACTTGGGACCTCCCTCCCACATCAAGCTTTGGACATTGTCAAATACGTCAGATAACTTAGATAAACACTGTCAGATCTTTCTCACTTAAAGCCTGTGTTAGTTTGAGCACATTGACACATTAGATTTTATCCCATGATAACTTAAATTGGTTTGTCACCCAAGCTCAACTCTAACATGTTCAATGTGTGGATTGTTTGCAGGCGAAGATGGCTGACAAGAGTGAGAAGGAGGAAGAGAGTAAACCAGCGGAGAAGAAGACACTTCCCTACTGGTTTGAGGATGGTAAGTCAGTTATATGTGAAATATGGCTGAAGTGGGATATGAACATTATACAGAGTTGTAAATAGAATCTGAATCATGGAAGCAATTGACTGCTCCCTTGTGAGTTAAGTTTACCATTCAACATTTCATGGGACATTCTGAGTATGGGATCTGAATGTGTGTGATTGATTTAAAGGTAATAAAAGTAAGCACATAATCCATATACACCAGAGATATTTGGTCTCAGTTGTTCAACAAAATGTTGAAACAATATTCTGAAATAGGAATGAACAGTTTCCAGTTCATGTTATGTGGATGCATATGTTATCTTGATAGTCAGGTGCTATGTTATCTTAATAGTCAGGTGCTGTGTTATCTTGATAGTCAGGTGCTGTTATCTTGATAATCAGGTGCTATGTTATCTTAATAGTCAGGTGCTATGTTATCTTGATAGTCAGGTGCTATGTTATCTTGATAGTCAGGTGCTATGTTATCTTGATAGTCAGGTGCTATGTTATCTTGATAGTCAGGTGCTATGTTATCTTGATAGTCAGGTGCTATGTTATCTTGATAGTCAGGTGCTATGTTATCTTGATAGTCAGGTGCTATGTTATCTTGATAGTCAGGTGCTATGTTATCTGATAGTCATATGTTATCTTGATAGTCAGGTGCTATGTTATCTTGATAGTCAGGTGCTATGTTATCTTGATAGTCAGGTGCTATGTTATCTTGATAGTCAGGTGCTAAGTTATCTTAAATAGTCAGGTGCTAAGTTATCTAATAGTCAGGTGCTATGTTATCTTGATAGTCAGGTGCTATGTTATCTTAATAGTCAGGTGCTATGTTATCTTGATAGTCAGGTGCTATGTTACCTGTCTGTGGCAGTGTTGGATTGTTTACCTGTTGCTATGTTACCGTGATGGTGTGGTGAGTCCCGGCATGTGTCTGTTTGCAGACCCTGGCTCCAACAACAGCGGGTACTACGACCTGAAGGCAGTACTTACACACAAGGGCAGGTCTAGTTCCAGCGGCCACTACGTGTCCTGGGTGCACAAGAAGGATGGTAAGACACAGATAAGCTTGATATTCACTGTTGCTTTTGTAATGACGAATATTCATCTTAAAATGGTTGATTGAGAAGTTCTGGATGGAATTGTAAAATAATGATATGTGTTTTGCTGTAGAATGCATGAGATTTAGACCGCCTCCGTGGTGTAGTGGTTAGAGCGTCCGCCCAGAGAGCGGAAGGTCGCGGGTTCGATCCCCGATCGCGTCATACCAAAAGACGCTAAAATATGGTACTTGTTGTTCCCTGCCTGGCGCTCGGCATTAATGGGTACAACAAGGACTGATCGGCTCGGAGTCAGTATAATGTGTCTGAGTGGGGTATTCATGCTTCACTGCGGCGTGGTATCTCAGTGGGCTAGCATTGTAAAACCAGCTTCAGTCTGGGCTAGTACAAGCAGCCGCACATACACATACACACGCATGCACGTCGTCATATGAGCAAAATATTCTCAAGCACGACGTTAAACCCAATTTCACCGCACCTCACCTGAAACGTCTACAACCAAACATTATTTATTCTGTTTCACAATTATTTCTGTGTGAGACTTCGAACTTAGCTGACCTGTGAAGATCAGGTTAGAATTAATATTTAGTAACTCATGCTTGTCGTAAGAGAAGACTAATGGGATTGGGTGGTCAGACTCGCCGATTTGGTTGACACATGTCATCGTATCCCAATTGTGTAGATTGATGCTCATGCTGTTGATCACAGGATTGTCTGATCCAGACTTAATTATTTACAGACAGCAGTGTAAAACTAAACTCACTCACTCACTTGAAGTTTGTCGTCAGCACTTCTATGTTCTGTGTGAACAGTTTCTTTTGAGTTTTTCAAATAATTATTCAACAACATGTTTGTTTGAAAAGTGATTATGGGGCACATGTCCCCTGAAATCAGGAGTTTCTGCCATGCCCTGGCAGTGCTGTTGCTGCTTATTCTGTTAACCACTGTGTTCAAGACTGACTTAACACTGTTTGGAAACGCTCTGTGCAGCATAATTGAGGTGTCTCCTCTCAGCTCTCTGTTACTGTCTATGGTTCCTGTATGTGTTACTGAGCTCAGCTTCCATCTTGTCTTCAGATGAGTGGATCATGTTTGATGATGACAGAGTGTCTTCAGTTCCAGCGGAGGATATTCTCAAACTGTCAGGAGGAGGTAGGAATTGGTTTAGCAGGACAAGAAGCATTTGGCCATGCATGCCATGGGGATTGCCCCAGCCTGCCGAATATGGGAGTCATCATGACTCGCTTGAAATCATTTTGACTCCCTCTCAATTTTCATTAATTTCATTAGTGTTGGGAATTGGTTGAATCTCACAATTGATGATTGGTTCAATACCAACGACCAATCATCGAAAAAAATTGGTTAGCGTCATTTTTTAGATTTTCCTATTCAGGTTGTAGTTGCAAATAAGTATAAAGAAAAAAACATTTGGTTCTCTGTTTTTTTGTTTTATTTAGAAACTGCACAAATTACATTTGCAGATTTCACATCCAGTGTAAAATGATTCAGTTCCATTGTAACATAAACTTCTCAGATTCTTCAAGAAATATTCAGTCATGACTTTTCAGAAAGTGAAGTGAGTTTTCTAAGAATTACACACGGACAAAGTCCTAAATATGTTCCATCATCAAGTATTTCAAACTCTATTACAGCGGTTCCAAAATCGTTTGTGTTCGATTATGAGAACATGTAATCGATTGTTTGGTCGTTTGGCCACTGCGACCAATCTTCGATTATTTCTATTAATCGGAACACCACTAAATTTCATGCACTAAAGTTGTGTTAATGTGAATCTCTGCCTTTTATAGTTTGTTTTATATACCTGTTGTTGTTCATATATGGGATAAATGAGGAAGAAAGGCAGGACTTTTTACCCAGATTAACCTGAGCTGCAGTGAAATAGCTACAACATAGACCTCTGACCTAGAAATATTCCTTTTCACTGTTGATGTTGCAGGTGACTGGCACTGTGCCTACGTCTTGTTGTTTTCTCCTCGGGCTCTGGAGGTGGAAGCCAACTCCATGGACAGCTGAGACACCTCGTCCATCAACACAGTGTTTCAATCAGCCACAACCACCCCAACGGTGCCCTTCTCTAGCCCCACAACACCAAGCCGTGGTTTAGCTTTCATACATGCAACAGTTAGGACCAAATACCACCTTGCTGGTTGTGTGCTGTGTTTTGTTCCACAGATTGTACATACATTATCCATGTTCTGCTTCAAGTGCTATGTATCTCAGGCCCTGGAATGTGGATGGCATAACACACATAAATATATTTGAGATGATCGTCTTCATAATTTTCTTTGAGATCTACCTCACAGCTTTCCTTGTTAATTCTGTCATCGTGTTGTATTTAATCTAGGATAATATGTCGGCATTTTATTTGCTGAATTTTAAAGTAAGGCTACAAAAATGAAATTAAATGGCTCATGTGCAATGGCTTTTGAAAATGTATTTGAGCAGGTGGCAATAAATTCATGTATGGTGATTTGTAAGATCATTTAAATGAGAAATTATAGGTTTGGTCTGAAAACAGAAATGAATGCTCTCCTATTGTGTCTGAGATTCAGGAATATATTTTTTTAATTTAATTTTGATAATTATTGTTGGCTTAATACGAATAGTTAGGGATTTCGGTTGCCCCATTCTACCCCCTACACTGCTAACTATAGACTAGGACGACAGGGACCAAACTTAATTTAAGAATTCAAAACATTCAGGCCTCACACTCTCTGATCAGGGGTCACTCATCTTCAGTTCTTCACAGGATTGTATTGTCTATGTGGCTCCATGCTTTGTAGTTGTTACCAACCAATCAAACAAGGGTCTGTTCAAAGCAAGAGAGAAGCCAGAAAGTCATCGCATATGACTCTGTGTGCCTTCACCTGCATTGCATCAATGTCAGGCAGTGGCAGATTATCATTATGTTTGTATATGGAGCAGTGCTTATTTCACTTCCATGTCTCATTAATGAACCAGTCACACTCTATATCTCCAGCTCTCACGATTTGGTAAACCTAGATTAACCATTGGATCCATTCCAACGGTTCTTGGATTACATGCGCTTGTTTTTCCACATTTTACACACTCAAACGTCGGCAGAGGGAAAGAGTAAGGGAGGTAACTTGTGTTACCATGAAACCCAAACTTCCACTAGATTTAATAGACATGAAAACATCCTTGCCATCAAAAAGATTTTAAGGACCTTCAGTTGTGTGCCGTTCATTTTGTCAATAGTGAATTTCTTGCCAAAACATTTTTCAGTCAATTTATTGGTCATATTGTTGATATTGACAACCCAACATTGATTTTAACTGACATTTTGTTGGTATGTCAGACCTTGTTGCATAAGTGAGGTGAGGTGAAATTGGGTTTAATGTCGTGCTTGAGAATATTTTGCTCATATGACGATGTGCATGCATGTGTTTGTGTATGTGCGGCTGCTTGTACTAGCCCAGACTGAAGCTGGTTTTATAGTGCTAGCCCACAGAGATACCATGCCACAGTGAAGCATGAATACACCACTAAGACACATTATACTGACTCCGGGCCAACCAGTCCTTGTTGTACCCATTAATGCCGAGCGCCAGGCAGGGACCAACAAATACCATATTTTAACGTCTTTTGTTATGACGCGGTCGGGGGATCGAACCCGCGACCTTCCGCTCTAACCACTACACCACGGAGGCGGTTGTTGCATAAGTAATCAAACTGTCAAATGGAATTTAAGGGTGGGTAATTTGAGATTGAATGAACCACAGGAATGGATCCAGGGGTTGATGTTGAAAGACCGAAATACTAGCCCTGAAGATATAGATGATGTCATTTTAGCTGCATACTAACAATAGACAAGTGCGAGTTCGTCACCGCCTAGAGGCTGTAGCATTCGTGGGGTGTGGAGACACGGAGAATGTCTGACTGTGAAGTACTGAGATGCGTTAGGACAGGGTTTTGGGCATCGGTGTTAAAACCTTTGGGGGTAGTGTTTGTTTACCCCATAAAAATGATGGAATGTGAGGTGCATAATTTCATCCATTGTTAATGTAGGAATGTGTTGATGGGACAAGCTGCCATGATTACAAATAAATGTATATTTTAATTAAGCTTATTCTGTTCTTTTTACAGCTATGTAATTGATGTTAAATGACTTGAACATTGATGCTGCTGTAAAATTCCTTCATTGGAAGTCAATAAACTTTCATTGGTATGATAACATTTGGTTTATTGTTATTTGGAAATGTTTGGCTCTGATGATGGGGTAAAATGAAAATGCAAATGCTAAAACAAGATCTATAAAGGATATTATTTATATAGGCGTGTATTATACATGCATGTATACGAGCATTTAATAAGCACCATTGGGCAAAAAAAACCTGGTCCAAACTGGCGATCACACCCCAGGATACTGGAATGAAGCACTGCTTCACACAAACCATAGGTCGCAAGTTGCGAAGGCATCAAATATATTCGGGTGTCAATTTCAAAATTGCAGCTTGTGCACTAGTTTTCTGTTCTGTTTTAAGAGATGACAACTGAGATTGACATTACTTGACATGGCATGGCGGCTTTCAGACAATACACGATGGCTTGTTATTGTCATGCATTAGGAAGGGATGTCCTGTCGCAACAACGGTGCTTGAACATCAACCGCACCGTTGTCAGTCGAGTTGTGAGCAAGCACGTGGCTGCCGTTGGAGTGAAAGATCTTCGAAGACTTGGAAGACCAAGGTAGACCAAGGTAGACCAGGGTAGACCAATGACAGTGACGACCGAGTCCTAATTCTGGTAAGACGGAGTCCCATGACCCATGACGAAGAATTGGGACAGCAACCTTTTGGTGCTGGCTCAGTGATGGTGTGGGGTTATGACTGCAAGTTGGATCTCATTACCGTACCTGGGGCACCCAATGGTCAACGGTATCAACAGGAAGTACTGGATACCGCCCTCGTCCCACATTTTGACAAATATTCCCTTCATACCCTTGCCGATCCGGGTTAGAATTGGTCTTCACCAACCCATTCTTGTCGTAAATGGCGACTAACAGGATCTGGCGGTTAGACTCGCTGACTTTGTAAGACACATGTCATCGCATCCCAATTGTGTAGATCGATGCTCATGATGTTGATCACTGGATTGTCTGGTCCAGACTCGATTATTTACAGCCCGCCGCCATATAGCCGGGATATTGCTGAGTGCGGCGTTAAACTACAACCAACCAAACAACCAACCAACCATACTCTTGCCAGTCGTCCGATATATTCATGAATTGCAACACCGTATCTCACCGTTCTCGAGCCGTCATCGCCCATTTGCAGAACACCGCCATTTAAACCATTACCACGACCCCGAAGGAGCACAGACATAAACCTCATCGAAAGCCTTTGCGACTGTCTTGAAGGCCAAGGTCGACCTGGAGATGGGGCGAGGGGTGGATGCACCAGGTACTGATGTGTTTAACAGCTGTGTTTTGATACAACAATCATTATTTGAGAACTGTGTGACAGATTTGTGGCGTAGTCATGGTGACCATACTTTCCGGCATTGTTGATATTCACGGTTTTGTGTATTTTTCTCAGATCACAAGTAATTTGTTACAGAATTTCAATTTCAGTATTGCCTTTGTTACAGTTTCCATTTTATTAAGCGGAATTTGGTTTTCCAAATCTTTGAAGATCTGCGTATCCTGATAAGGAAAAAATCAGACACTTTTTAAATCTTCTTGGATCCGTTTTGACAGAAAACTGTTTGCTCATTGCTGGCGTCGGACTTACAACATACGATTTGATGCAGCCTGACCGTGTATTCATGGAATTGTGTACAGAAAGAATGCTGATTCAAACACAGTGCTTCGAAAAAGAATGTTACATCATAATGCTGTCACAACTTTATGGAAAAACCATGAGACGAAGCGGACGTATAATCAGTATTATTGCCACGCAAATGTTTCGCAACCGATGCACCAGTGTTTGGGAATTTACATGATCCAGAGTCATTGGACTTTGGATGTTTTTATAACATTTAGACGAGAAAAAAACGGTAAATGGGGATGCAAGTGACACATATAAGAAGTTTCTTTGAAGACTGCAACAGGTATGACAAGTAAATCTGTTATGTAACCGTCATCTGATATAGGTCACCGAGCCATCTTTGCGTGTGGGTACAAACGTCTTCCTATTTACCATCGGTATTGTTGGCGACTTTAATGTCGACTTCTCCCTTACTGTTAAAATATCGACAACGAGTCAATTCTCACATGCCAAGAATAAGATGTCACGAAACATTTGGACGCCTGAGGACTGCAATGAACATTGACGAGACTATCAAAATCAGTTTTCTGTTTAAATAAATATTTACACTGATTTCATTTGTTACTGTACACTTCACTGTGAGTTGTAAAGATCTTGTGGAATACTAGTACTTAAAACTGATGTCCACATTTGTTGATACGTTAATTCCAGAAGAACCCAAAACACAAAAGAACAAAGCAAACAAAAACCCACTGAACGAAAATTTTATAAACATTGCGTCAAGAATAATAACTTCACAGTCTCACAATTAATTATTAACACCAGCAAAACTGCAAACATCAATATGACTTCAACGACATATTTCAGCTAATAAAAAGAACCACGAGACCCGCCCATTCTGTAATCAACCATTGAAGAACAGCAGTCAGTGGGCGTGGCCTACATATCCTAAAATTAACAAATCGATACAAATTAAGGTATCCCTATGGCAGTACAACATAGAGTGGCAGTAAAATTCAAAGGTACTACAATACAAGAGCAGTGATTAAAGCAATATGGACAGTGATGGTGATGGTGATTCTCAGTAACAGTAATCCAACTTGCAACAATAATAATGATCATCACACAATGCTGGTCTTCTGGTAACGTCATTTGAGATGAGAGGCAAGAGGTAACTCTCCTCATATACCGAAGTAATAGATGCTACAAACATGTTTCAATACTCTGTAAGACAGATGGTTGTAGAAACAGCTCCTAGCACTTTCCAGATGTTTCACATAACAATATGTACGTAATCATCTGAACATGTAACAAGCAGATAAAATCGTTGTGGTTTACACACTCAATCCATAACACAACGTTATGGCATTATACAAATATATTCATCATATACATGAAATCTCATAAACGTATATTTATAACCTTTTACGCGGAAAACAGAACCTGTATGGAGAAGAAGTGAGATAAGGTGACTTCATGTAGTCTCGTTGTCGATGAGGTGAAATGGGGTTTAATATCGTACTTGAGAATATTTCGCTCATATGACGACGTGCATGCGTGTGTATGTGTGGCTGCTTGTACTAGACCAAACTTAAGCTGCTTTTATAGTGCTAGCTCACTGAGATACCATGCCGCAGTTAAGGGTTAATACACCACTCAGACACACTATACTGACTCCGAGCCGACCAGTCCTTGTTGTACCCATTAATGCCGAGCGCCAGGCAGGGACCAACAAGTACCATTTGGTATGACGCGGTCGGGGATCGAACCTCGACCTTCCGCTCTCCGGGTGGACGCTCTAACAACTACACCACTTCGCTGTCGATGAAGTTCGTGGTGTTGTTGCGTTACTTTTGCTTGTTGCTTGTTCGCCTCCAGCCGACAGTTGGACGGTTGATGTCTGGGAGGCTATCTGTGTCCCTTCAAAATGTCTATAGACTTACACAAGGTTCTGATGGGTCGATGTTGTTCACCCCGGCATGCCACGCTTCCTCATGGTTTGTTGTTCTTGAACAACCTGCGCTGAAGGGGATGCCAGACAGGTCTCCAGTCTCCACACACTGGTCAGGAACACAGTCAGCAAATTCCAACAAGATGCTAGATTTTGAAGACCAGCGTTGTCAATGGCACTCAACCACGTTTTACCAATCACAACTGATTCAACTGACCACGTCGAACAAAACAATCGTTTTGCGATGCTGCTTTATTCATTATCATCATGACATTTAATTGATGGAATTGGTTAAATTGATGAACTAAATATCCGCTCACTAATGATGAACTGTGATTTGGTTATTGACTGTATTGACGCACAAGTTATTAATGTTAAATTCATCTTCTTTGAGACCAGTTCAAGCAGTAATATGCGTTAATACCTTTCAAATCACTCTTACGAATTGTCCGATAATTCACAGAAATGAATAAAAAGTGTAAAGCTTTCGACCGCTACGTATATATACGATATCTGGAGCGCCTGCACAGTGAGCAGAAAATTTGGTGTTCGATCCACGGCGTCAACAGGTGGAACTTATTTTCGTTTCACGTTCTGCCAGGGATCGGAGTCGGTATTCTAAACTGGCATTAGTTTGGACAAGTGCTCAGAGACACAGCAGGACGGGCACACGCACGCACCTTCGGACACACGCAAATAGGCACATATCCACGTACGACGCCAAAATCTTGACCGCGACGTCAAACCCCTTTTCATGTCAC